GGAAGGGGAGGGGCTCTAGTCTGGATTCGTACAATACGGCCACCGTTTAATACAGCACGCTTAATACAGGTTGGACTGTGTTTTGAACCTTTCCAAACTTAGAAATTTTCTTAAATTTCAAGTTTTTACCAACTGATTTCTGAACACGTTTATACTTATTAATAAATCGTTTGTAAGGTGCACAATACAAACAAACGATCAACTAAAAACATTAAACTTGACACTAATTCACATTGGTAATACACAATTGACACCCACACATTTCCTGTACACACAATACAATGACGTAAGAACCAGATAACAAATACGGCTAACCTGACGTTTACTCCTCATTTGACTCTGAAGATGACTACCGCTAAGGTTGTCGAAACGTCAGTCAGCAACAACAAAAACAGTCCTTCTCAGGACTATACTAACCTGGATGATCTACATTTATAAACATGTAACGATACTCCCGGGTTCAAACCATTTACTTTTTTACTTAATATACTGTTTATATTTTTTATTTTTTTCACACTTCTAGTCGTAGCTTGACTTAATACGCTACGTACTTCTATTTCTGTAGAATCAGCAGTTGTGTCAATATGTATTAAATCTCGCCAAATATGACCAGAGCTACGATATAAGGGATCGAGCGCGATTTTTACGTCCCATTGTGTTTCCCGGAGAGAAGGTTTAATTTTAGAACTTTTTTATTGTATATTTTATCGAAAACATTGAATTATTGGATAGTCTATATTTTATCTAAAACATTCACTCATTGGCTAGGTCATATTTAGTCTAAAACATTCACTCATTGGCTAGGCTGTGTTTTATCTAAAACATTCACTCATTGGCTAGGTCATATTTTGTCTAAAACATTCACTCATTGGCTAGGTTGTGTTTTATCTAAAGCATTCACTCATTAGCTAGGTCATATTTTGTCTAAAACATTCACTCATTGGCTAGGTTGTGTTTTATCTAAAGCATTCACTCATTAGCTAGGTCATATTTTGTCTAAAACATTCACTCATTGGCTAGGTTGTGTTTTATCTAAAGCATTCACTCATTAGCTAGGTCATATTTTGTCTAAAACATTCACTCATTGGCTAGGTTGTGTTTTATCTAAAGCATTCACTCATTAGCTAGGTCATATTTTGTCTAAAACATTCACTCATTGGCTATGTTGTGTTTTATCTAAGACATTCACTCATTGGCTAGGTTGTGTTTTATCTAAGACATTCACTCATTGGCTAGGTTGTGTTTTATCTCAAATATTCAATCATTGGCTGGGTTGTATTTTATCTAATATAATTTATCTAAGGCATTCACTTATTAGATAAGAAACATATCTATATTTCCTGTTTGTTTTTATTGCGTTGAAGAAATTTTAATGAACCAATCGAGATTTGAACTTCGTCGTCCAAAGTTTCGAAATTAAATTATTTACCATTATTATACCGTATACCATATTTACCAAGTATGAACTTCCTTACTACACTGGTTTTGAGCTATAAATTTAAACTATTATAATATCGAAAGTTTGATTTTAGCATCTTCAAACCAATAGTAAATGGAGAAACTTTTGCCATTAGAATGTGATTTACAGTTATTAACTTCGGTTTGTTTTGGACAGCGGTTCTTTTTTTACGAATACTTTGTTTAATGTATAATATAGCACTCGAATGACATGTTCCAATGGCGTCGATTTATTTGTTCTCGTGTGTATTTCAGGTGGGACAGATTGTTAAACACTCCAAGAAAATATTGCTGGCTTCCAAACCACCTCCCGTGTTAGAGTCATCTTTCAAAGGTGAAGGAAGGTCTTCAGTCAAGGCTGTTAAATGCTTGAGTCCAGTGTCTTCATCTGGAGTCATCTGATGTTATAACTTGAGTCCTTGTGCACTCCAGTCTAGTGTCTTCATCTGGAGTCATCTGATGTTAAAACTTGAGTCCTTGTGCACTCCAGTCTTGTGCCTTCATTAGTAGTGATCTGATGTTAAAACTTGAGTCCTTGTGCACTCCAGTCTAGTGTCTTCATTAGTAGTGATCTGATGTTAAAACTTGAGTCCTTATGCACTCCAGTCTAGTGTCTTCATTAGTAGTGATCTGATGTTAAAACTTGAGTCCTTGTGCACTCCAGTCTAGTGTCTTCATTAGTAGTGATCTGATGTTAAAACTTGAGTCCTTGTGCACTCCAGTCTAGTGTCTTCATTAGTAGTGATCTGATGTTAAAACTTGAGTCCTTATGCACTCCAGTCTAGTGTCTTCATTAGTAGTGATCTGATGTTAAAACTTGAGTCCTTGTGCACTCCAGTCTAGTGTCTTCATTAGTAGTGATCTGATGTTAAAACTTGAGTCCTTATGCACTTCAGTCTAGTGTCTTCATCAAGAATAATCTGATGTTACGACTTCACTCCAATATATTCTTCAGTGTAGTGTTTTTATTAGGAGTGATTTGATTTTGAATTTTGAGTCCTACATTCTAGTCTAGTATCCTCACCAGGAAGGATATGATGTTGAAACCTGAGTCTTTATGTATCTCAGTTTAGTCTCTTCATTAGTAGTGATGTTGAAACTTGAGTTGTCTAGTATCTTTATTAGGAAAGATCAAGCATTGCCTCTTAGGTCTCTGTATATGCTGTAGTATCTAGTGTCAATCCATGCAGCTAATGTTCTTCTCTATAAGGTCATGGTGAGTTCATCGTCGGCTCTCTCTCTCATCATAAACGCACGAGCGTCTGGCTATCAAGAACTTCCCGAATACCCGAGGTCCCTCCCGATCCCTCTGTTAGAAACGTCGAGGTTTGTGATCGTTCATATCCCATGATTATGTTTTGATTGTGTGATTCAACATTTTATCGATATGTTTATGTAGGTCGAGCCGTTGTGGGAGAAATCTAAATCGAAGTCAAGATCAAAGAAAAAGTCTACATTTTACTCGAGTGAATCTGAATCCGACTCTGCGTCGGAATCTGAATCAGGTGCGTTCTTCCCCCAAGTCTTTTCCTACTGGACGCGTAATTAAGTTTATTTAATTTCAACAATAATGCTTGGTTACCAATCTTCAAGCTTATATATATACATATATAACCAAATATGCACAGTTTGGCTGAATAAATCATTTGTGTTAAGCAAGGCTACCCTTTTGTACGCACTGCGTGCCTATTTTTGCATCGTGTTCCCACAGGCTCCGGTTCAAGTGGAAGCAGCGGAAGTGAAAGTGAGAGCGATGAAGGCAGCGAGAGCGTCAGTAAATCTAGCATGGAGTCTTTACCTGGATCGGAAACAGGTAAGAGATCAAGTGGTATGCTGTTAAAACTGATATCTATGGTACCGTTATATTCACAGTCATAGAAAATATAGATCGCTACCAGCACAATATTTGCCTACAAATACCGGGGTTTTCGCGATGGTGTATTGCTGCATGGCTCTTCAGGCAATATGCGTTCTGACAGAAAACAATCCTCCCTTCCCAACGAATGGTGGGGTACATTAATGGTGTATTGCTGCATGGCTCCTCAGGCAATATACGTATTGACAGAAAACAATCCTCCCTTCCTACGAATGGTGGGGTACATTAATGGTGTATTGCTGTATCGCTCCTCAGGCAATATACGTATTGACAGAAAACAATCCTCCCTTCCCTACGAATGGTGGGGTACATTAATGGTGTATTGCTGCATGGCTCCTCGGGCAATATACGTATTGACAGAAAACAATCCTCCCTTCTCTACGAATGGTGGGGTACATTAATGGTGTATTGCTGTATGGCTCCTCTGATTAAATATTTACTTTAAGCAATGTTTCCGCCTCAAGTTTTCGTAGTTTGACCTTGTCTTTGGCTTGTATGGTCACATAGTTTACTCATGACAAGACCTCATTTTGTTTTTACATGATGGTGCAGTGTGGAAATGTACCAGAATGTACCCTATTGTACGTATTTCACACCAGAATTTGAAATGGCTACTATAATATCGTGCGCTTGAAAATGACAAACAGTTAGACTTAGTATAAGGGTTTAACATATTTACAACTTCACAATGCAAAGCCTCGGGCTCCGGGAAACCTTTGCCAGCACATTAATGCAACCCCCCGGGAAAATCTGTTTGCTTCCTGTCGGATAAACATAAGTCTACTCCATAGTATGTGATATAGACTTATTAAGGAATAAATAAATAAAAAAATCTCTTGCAAAACGTCATGCGTTTAAAAGCGTCCGCGCCATTCATTTTCCTCTGATACCTCCCCCCTCCTCAGTTTTTGTCATTCAATTTCGCTTTTCAGAAAGCCAAGAGAGCGACGTCGAAGGGGGAAGGAATGAAAGAGCAAAGAGTCGAAAAAAATCAGAAAGTCAGAGCAGCATCGAGTCGAAAACGAGTGAAGAGTCTTCGGATAGCGACGCCGAGTCCTCGGAAAGCGATTCGTCACAGGAGAGTGACGATGCTAAACAAGAAACGCCAGCGAAAAAAGTGAGATAAATTACTGTGCACACTTTCAAAGGATATGTATACCACTGTTTGAAAAACGAGAAATAATTCAGCTTTTCACATATGAACTGCAATTAATTAATCACAATATTTTGTATATTGAGGTCGAAACGAAGAAATCCGATGATGCTCCGAAGAATAAACGAGTTTCTAAGCCACCAACAACAGATCATTTGCTTTCGTTTGATGAAGATAGTAAGCTCACTCTTTAACGGCTTAACTTGTGGCACTGAAATCACCAATCCGATTGATTTTTTTCCTCTATACGAAATACTTTAATATTTTTTATAGTTCCTGTGGCTCCTGTTGTAAATGGTCCTGCACATAAGAACATTCTTTCTCCCTCGCTGGTGGACGATATGAAAACACTTTCCATTGGTGTCGTACAGAATGGAGTTGCTGCGGTTGTGCAAAAGGTACATCGATGACTTAAGTATTCAATGCGCATGCTCTAGATTAAGGACGAGGTCCTTTTCAACTGATAACAATGAAAGGCTACAGATGAATAGCAACACAGCCAATCGCCTACTTGAATTGCGCATTACATGACACGTGATCAAATCATGCTCAAGCCAACTTCCTCATGTAGGTCGTAACGGACTTCTCTCAATTGAGGACTTATGAACTGCTCAATAAGATGGCTGGTCGTGGATTGAAGGCTCAATACAAGTTCCCCCGGAGTCCGTGTTTGTATTCGACTACGATGGTCGCCGTTGAAGTAACATTTACTAACAGCGGCAGTTCATGTGTTGAAAACATTCACGTTGGCAAGAAGGTAAATTGCATTCTAAGTCATAGTCGTTAGTAGAAATGTGCTTACTGAGACTCTGTTTGTTTTCTCGTCTTAGAAAGTGGGACTCGGCTTGAAAATAGCCGATTTTCCTAAGATTGGTGAGTTGTCTGCTTAGAAAAAATATTAACCTGCAAATCACCTGTGAATAATTGGGATGGGGTTGCTTTGCTCTTGTTTAGAATCGATCGGTATTGGTTCTACAGTCACCGTGAGCATGGGGATAGATTTTAAGGATACTATACAACCAGTTAGTTTTGAGATATGGTATGTCGCGTTACTGTTTTTATCAATTATTAATTATCTTTTATCATCAAAATATTTCCGTTGAAGTCATTGGATTTAGCATAAAAAACAAGTCAATGTGTATATCTCGACTCGATTGGAGTATATAAACTCAAGTTTCAACATTACGTCACTCCTGATGAGAACACTAGACTGGAGTTTATAAGAACTCAAGTTTGAACATTACGTCACTCCTGATGAGAACACTAGACTGGAGTTTATAAGAACTCAAGTTTCAACATTACGTCACTCCTGATGAGAACACTAGACTGGAGTTTATAAGAACTCAAGTTTCAACATTACGTCACTCCTGATGAGAACACTAGACTGGAGTTTATAAGAACTCAAGTTTCAACATTACGTCACTCCTGATGGGGACACTAGACTGGAGTTTATAAGAACTCAAGTTTCAACATCAGATAACTCATAGGACTCAACAGATCTCTCAAATGAAGACACTAGACTGGTGTATATAAGGACCCAAGCTTTAACATAAGAGGATAATTTAGAATACCTAGCAGCAAAACTTTATCATGCGTTCAAATTGATCTCGCTTTTTCACCAGCACGAAGTCCGATAAGTTTACTGTCAAGTTGAAATGCCCGATGGGAGAACAGCTTCACGCGAGGCCGATAACGGAAAATGACTTTCTTACTTTGCAAAGTAAGTATCGCGGTTATAAATTTTTATCTTGCTTATACAAATGCATGTAAAATGAAATTATTACAGAAATATTGACTTACCATAAATTATCTTCGTTCACAGAAGTTGTCTGGTATGAATGAAAGCTCTCTGACTGTGGATATCCCGCAGGAGAACTGCGAGGAACGCGTGCTCGCGTCGAAAATCCTGGGTTGTGCGAGTGTAGCGGCATTACCCAGAAATAGCAGCTTAAATTATTATAGGTTTTCTGGGTCGGCTACTTCATCCGGGGTCCCCGTATTGATAACTGTCGAACTTAAGGAGTATGGAAAGAGAGTAGGATTACGGTGAATTGCGAAAAAATGACAATCAATTCAATTTTGGCGAAAGAACTGGTCGCCGCTGTGGGAAAAGTATGATACGTAAGTTCCCCAGATGTAAGCTGAAGGAGGGAAAAAATTCAATTATCCTTGTTGGGTAATACAATCCACGTGTGTGGGTTGTGAAGGGGGTATAAAACGCACGTGCTTCGCACATGGCCTAAGTATTCTTATGATTTTGTAACTTGCCCAAAACTTGTAAGCTCGCTCAGACTATTTTGCATTAGAAATCTGCTGTTTCGAAATTTCTTCTAAATGGCCAAATAATATAATGAATGCTAGGAAAGGTGGTAACAGTTCCGAACCTGGAAAGGTCGAAATTTATATTACTGTTAGTATTTTTTTCCAATCAAAAATAATTTACAATGAGTCACGTTGGCATTATCTTTATGTTTAGAAATTTCTAACCAACAACGTCGTTTTCGAAGTATTTTCAATTGTAGATTGCCATAATGTGTTGATCTACCCTAGATTCGCCACTGAATGATAACTCTGTATAATCATTAGCTGCTTTATCAAACCAAGAATGATTTAATATGTATATAAGAACTCAAGTTTCAACATTACGTCACTCCTGATGAGAACACTAGACTGGAGTTTATAAGAACTCAAGTTTCAACATTACGTCACTCCTGATGAGGACACTAGACTGGAGTTTATAAGAACTCAAGTTTCAACATTACGTCACTCCTGATAGAGAACACTAGACTGGAGTTTATAAGAACTCAAGTTTCAACATTACGTCACTCCTGATGAGGACACTAGACTGAAGTTTATAAGAACTCAAGTTTCAACATTAAGTCACTCCTGATGAGGACACTAGACTGGAGTTTATAAGAACTCAAGTTTCAACATTACGTCACTCCTGATGAGAACACTAGACTGGAGTTTATAAGAACTCAAGTTTCAACATTACGTCACTCCTGATGAGAACACTAGACTGGGTTTATAAGAACTCAATTTTGAACATTACGTCACTCCTGATGAGAACACTAGACTGGAGTTTATAAGAACTCAAGTTTCAACATTACGTCACTCCTGATGAGGACACTAGACTGAGTTTATAAGAACTCAAGTTTCAACATTAGTCCTCTGATGAGGACACTAGACTGGAGTTTATAAGAACTCAAGTTTCAACATTACGTCACTCTGATGAGAACACTAGACTGGAGTTTATAAGAACTCAATTTTGAACATTACGTCACTCCTGATGAGAACACTAGACTGGAGTTTATAAGAACTCAAGTTTCAACATTACGTCACTCCTGATGAGAACACTAGACTGGAATTTATAAGAACTCAAGTTTCAACATTACGTCACTCCTGATGAGAACACTAGACTGGAGTTTATAAGAACTCAAGTTTCAACATTACGTCACTCCTGATGAGAACACTAGACTGGAGTTTATAAGAACTCAAGTTTCAACATTACGTCACTCCTGATGAGGACACTAGACTGGAGTTTATAAAACTCAAGTTTCAACATTACGTCACTCCTGATGAGGACACTAGACTGGAGTTTATAAGAACTCAAGTTTTAACATCAGATAACTCATAAGGACTCAACAGATCTCTCCAAATGAAGACACTAGACTGGTGTGTATAGGACCAAAGCTTTAACATAAGAGGATAATTTAGAATACCTAGCAGTAAAACTTTATCATGTGTTCAAATTGATCTCGCTTTTCACCAGCACGAAGTCCGATAAGTTTACTGTCAAGTTGAAAATGCCCGATGGGAGAACAGCTTCACGCGAGGCCGATAACTGAAAATGACTTTCTTACTTTGCAAAGTAAGTATCGCGGTTATAAATTTTATCTTGCTTATACAAATGCATGTAAAATGAAATTATTACAGAAATATTGACTTACCTTAAATTATCTTCGTTCACAGAGAAGTTGTCGGGTATGAATGAAAGCTCTCTGACTGTGGATATCCCGCAGGAGAACTGCGAGGAACGCGTGCTCGCGTCGAAAATCCTGGGTTGTGCGAGTGTAGCGGCATTACCCAGAAATAGCAGCTTAAATTATTATAGGTTTTCTGGGTCGGCTACTTCATCCGGGTCCCCGTATTGATAACTGTCGAACTTAAGCAGTATGGAAGAGAGTAGGATTACGGTGAATTGCGAAAAATGACAATCAATTCAATTTTGGCGAAAGAACTGGTCGCCGCTGTGGGAAAGTATGATACGTAAGTTCCCCAGATGTAAGCTGAAGGAGGGAAAAATTCAATTATCCTTGTTGGGTAATACAATCCACATATGGGGTTGTGAAGGGTATAAAACGCACGTGCTTCGCTTACATGGCCTAAGTATTCTTATGATTTTGTAACTTGCCCAAAAACTTGTAAGCTCGCTCAGACTATTTTGCATTAGAAATCTTCGAAATGGCCAAATAATATAATGAATGCTAGGAAAGGTGGTACCAGTTCCTAACTTGGAAAGGTCGAAATTTATATTACTGTTAGTATTTTTTTCCAATCAAAAATAATTTACAATGAGTCACGTTGGCATTATCTTTATGTTTAGAAATTTCTAACCAACAACGTCGTTTTCGAAGTATTTTCAATTGTAGATTGCCATAATGTGTTGATCTACCCCAGATTCGCCACTGAATGATAACTCTGTATAATCATTAGCTGCTTTATCAAACCAAGAATGATTTAATATGTATATAAAAAAAATCATGAAGGACTCTACTTTTTAGTGAAGTATCAATTCCTTGTTTGATTTATTTGAAACTGAAACTTATTCTGTTTACAACCTTCTGTTGTAGCGTACGTTGTCTTACGGAGAAAGGGATTGGTGAGTGGGGAATCGTCCACCATCATGAATCCATGATAGTTTGATATTGTTTTGGGGGCGGGGTGGGAGGGGTTCTTTAAAGCTTTTGTCATTACCACGTTGAAATGCTTTTTGTTAGAAAATGTTTTCGAGTTGATCTTTTAGAGTGCGTGGAAATTACATTCAAAGAAATTTTTTGCACAACGGTATAGGACAAATAAAATCAGTCAGCTGTTGTCCGTTATTTCTCCTTCTAATCCACAACTCTTGACGACTGTCTTAGTCACGCGGTACACTAACCTGCGCGAATTTTTGCTCATGACTTAGGACTTTGGCTTTGTGGCTTTGAATGTCAGATCAATTTTAACGAACAGTTTGATTACCGTTCTTCATACCCAATTCCTGCTAGCCATTAATTGTAATGCTTACATAGCTGGGGGGTGGTGGGGGTGGTATGATTGAAAACCATTGAAAACTCTGTAAAAGAACCATTGCTTCAATAACAACGATGATGCAAGTAGATGTCCAATTCAAGTACACGTTTTAAAAAATTCAAAATGGCGGCAAATGTGCTGTGCTCCGTGTTGTCTCCGAAAATCTTTGTAAAAGTCAAGGTTCTTGTAGTTCTCAAAGTGTAAATGCTGCAAAATCGGCATTTTCGTTTTCCAAACCGAAATTAACGACTAATAATTCCACTGAACTTCGTTGTTGATTTCCAAAGTCGTAATTTTTATTTTCATGTATTTTTAAGACACGTAAAATTATCTTATAACTATCTTATTCTTTTGTAAATCTTCAACACAATCAGCGAGACAATATTTAGTATGAGGAACGCAAACAGGAGGTTAGATGTCCTGTGGTGCAGCAAGTGAAATGCGCCGATCAAATATATGAATATGGTCCTCATTTTTTTCAGCGAACTACAGCCGTCTCAGAAGAACTGCTCATCTTTAAAATCAGCCAACATTTAGAATTTGCATGAATCTGTAGCTAATTTCTAATCCCCAAAGAGGCATAGATGCTATTGAAATGAATTTCGTGAAACTTGCAATAAACAGTTGTCGCAATTCGTATGTATTATTGTTTTCAAATAGCTTTGAAGATATTTTGGAGATCAATTACTGCTAAAGCCCGCCGCACACTGGAGGAACTTGCCTACGAAGTGTCATTCGTGATACTTGGCGTAAGCACTTCCTCTAGTGTGCGGTGCCGTTTGGAGCGCTTTTTGTCACGCGTGTCACTTGCATCTGATATTCAACATGTTGAATAATTTTTGCCACGAGTGATACTTTACTCCAAGTGTGCGGTGAACGAAAGCTTCTAGCTTACAGCTTCAATCTAATACGCATGCGTTGTGTGCACTCTGATACAAACATGGCGGCTGCAGCGTGCGAAACGTACGACTCAGACTCAGATTCATGCGAAGAAAATTGAAGCTCGTCCGAAGATAATTCATATTCACCCGAAGATGAAGAGATATTGTTACTTCTTCTATTATTACGCCGGCGGCGAAGACGACTTAGGGCCAAAAAGCGAAAGATTTGGACGAAGAAGTGGATTTTACGTCGTGAGTCTCAAGGGGCATTCGCCAATCTTATTCGTGAGATCAATGTAGAAGACCCAGAAAAATTTAGGCAATATCATAGGGTTGAATGACGTTCGTTCGAGGAGATTTTAGGTATAGTGTCGCCACATATTGAGAAAAAAGATACACAACTGCGAGCTTCGATTAAGCCTTCTGAGCGTTTGTCAGTAACTTTACGCTTTCTTGCAACAGGTATGTCTAAACTTAAAAACAATTTAAGTATCCTTTCACCTTTTGACAAACCACAGACTTGCAGGGTATGACTTTCTGCTTTTGAGCAGATTTGTTACCTTTGAAAGGAGGAGTGGAAGGATTTTATGTCGCATTATTCATTCACTTGTTGAGTAGGTTTTCTAATGTGTTGATGGGTTCATTAATGCTAAAGTAGTGTTATAATGCATCCTATGAAGCAGCCAGGGTATAATGTATTGTTATTAAAACATGCCTAGGAGAATCTTTCAGAAGCTTGTCCTTCCAGTACCGAATAGGAGAAAGGACTATCTCTGGGATTGTAGAAGACACTTGCAAAGCATTGTATGCCATATTAAAAGAAGAATATTTGAAGGTTTATCTGAACATGTTTTATTTAATAAATGTGCAATGAACTGTTTGACTATACTTCAAGCCACATCATCATCTGTCAGTTTGAAGACCACCTATTTTGATTAAATATAGTTGATTCTTCTCGTAAGGAATTATGTAGCGGAGGACTTGCTTAGTTGAATGGAGATGTGGGATAGTTGTTTGTCGAGGAATGTGATATGATTGTATGGGCGAAATTGGTTGTATTGCGGTTGTACCACCACTGCTTGTTGTGAATCCTGAGTTAGCATTCCAGTTTGAGCCTGGAATATAATATTGTTTATTTGATGTTGGGCCAGATGACGTGTTGCACTGTCCAAATCTGATAGTGCTTGAGATACATATTTTCCAAATGCATCATATTGTTTTGAAGTTTCATCAGGTTTGGGTTTCTTGTTTCTTTGAGAAATTGAATCAGAAAGATTTTTATCAAGGAATATTCGTGATCAGCTTGCCTCTTTTGTGTTAATTTGCCTGGATTTGAGTGGTTCTTTTGTTGACTTTACTATTTCAATTGTGTCAGTATCATTGTTTTCCCATGATTCATTTTCAATTGAGAAATTGTCATCTTCAATGCTGTCATCAAGCTCTACAGTGCTGAGATCTGATGTAGGTGTTGTACATGACACCTAAACAAAAGATTGTTCATTTTTAGACTCCTTGCAAAGAAGAAGATTGGTTGAAAATTGTTGGTGACTTTGAAAGCAAGTGGAACTACCCATGCTGCATAGGTGCCATAGATGGAAAACATATTAGTATCCAGCAACCTACTGCAAGTGGATCAGAGTTTTTTAATTACAAACATTACTTCAGTGTTATTCTCTTGGCCCTTGTTGATGCTAATTACAAGTTCATTTATGTGGATGTTGGAGCAGCAGGTCGTTCTGGGGATGCTGGAGTATTCAGAGATTCTGCATTGAAAAGGGCATTATCATCCAACATTTTAAATCTTCCCTCTCCACAAAATGTACAAGGGATAGCAACAAAAATACATTGTCACATTGTTGGCGATGATGAAACCTTGTCAACCAACCTGATGAAACCTTATCCTCATCGTAACTTAGAAAAAGGACAGCGCATTTTTAACTACAGATTGTCAAGGGCACGCCGGGTAGTTGAAAATGCTTTTGGCATATTTGCACATAGATGGCGAGTGTTTTTAACCACTATCAAACTGACCCCAGACAAAATAACCGATATTATATTAGCTGCCTGTTGCTTGCACAATTACATGATCAACAAGAACAAAGCAACATATACCGTAGCAGTTGACCAAGAGAATGCAGATCACACAATATCACCTGGAACTTAGAGGAATGACCCAAACTTAACTGACATGCAGCGTACATTAGTGCCTAATACATCTAGAGGTGCAAAAGTTCAACGTGAACTGCTAACAATTTATTTCAACAATGATGGAGCAGTGCCATGGCAAAACCGAATTGTTGATATGTCATAAATTTTAGTTACATATAAATATTTCAAGAGTATTTAAACCCAATGAAAAATGAATTTAACTGATTTATACATGTCTTTGAGTGTAAAATTCCATACCGTATCCAAGTTGGAAACAGACGCCCTAAAAGCCACGTGGGAGCTAAAACTGTAATTTCTCCAACAGCCACGTTGACCGTTTCGTAGGTTTTTCCAAGCACTCCCACTTGCTGATGGTTTCTTGGCTTTCACGTAACTATTTCGTAATGCTTTCAATTTAGATTTTAACCATGCACTGCAAAATAAGCGCTAATAATCACTAAGACATTTCACAGTTGAATCAACAAATTCAATTGAATTTGACTTACCAGTTTGACCCAATTTTCAGCCAATTCTTCCAAAGCACGCTCTCTCATTTCTCTGTTTTTAAACTCTGGTGACCTAACATCCTATAGGCATGGGTATTCAGGCCACAAATCAGCGATTTGGTCTTCCAAAATTGCTTCGGCAACAACTGCACTGGTAGAGCTGGGGCTCGCCGCCATGTTTTTTGTTGTTGTATCAGAGTGCACCAAGCATGCGTATTAGATTGAAGCTGTAACCTAGAAGCTTTCGTTCACCGCACACTTGGAGTAAAGTATCACTCGTGGCAAAATTATTCAACATGTTGAATATCAGATGCAAGTGACACGCGTGACAAAAGCGCTCAAACGGCACCGCACACTAGAGGTGCTTGCCAAGTATCACGAACGACACTTGGCGTAAGCAATTCCTCCAATGCGGCGGGCTTAAATCATGCTAATTGTAAAACGCCGGCTGCATGAGCAGTTTTGAGACACCCTGTAGAGACGGACATCTAGTGTTTATCATTATTTTAGATGTTTTCTTAAAATATAGAGATATTCGAAAATCTCATATGGAGACATTTTCGTGAGCGATAAATCTTCATTGAATTAAATTGTTGCAAAAGTCATTTGCCGCAAATTTGTCAATTTCAACGTTTGATTCGTTATATCATCGACAGTTTTAAATACTTTAATTTAGTCCAAATTAGTAGTGCAATTATGACTTCTCGTCTATAAAATGGCAAACCTAATTGGTTTGCGTTTGTTTCGTTTTTGAAAATGTGCTTGCACAGCTGCGATGCGGCGTTTATTCGCTGGAAAAGGAATTACTGCGAAGCGATAACGCTCTTTGTCGCTTTCTTATATAAATTTATAACGAGCTTTTGTGAATTTTAATAGGTCCATGTTAACGCACATTTCAATCACAATTACAATATACGGACGTATAATGCAGATGTAGTTGGAAACAAAATGCAACAAGGCAAAATTTTTATCGAGTTTTGAGACTCACTGAAAAGCTTGAACACAGCTCTATTGCATTTGCAAAGTGGAATATATAGGAGAGAAGAGCACTTCATAGAAAGTAGCTCAGATATATCAATCTTATCGCTATGGAAACTTTTATATTTTTCATTGTCGCAATATCTTCATTTGGCATCGTTGGAAATACCCTTGTGATCTTCGATATTAAAAGAAAAATTTTGTTAAAGAAGAACTTCTACTTTCTTGTCTTGCATCTCGCGATATGTGACGTATTTACAATGTTGAGCATATTTCTCCATTTGATATTGGATAACTTTCTTAAAAGCGCTTTAATATTGTTTAACTGCTTAGATATAAATGACATTTATTTTTTCTTTCAAGTGGCGTTTGTATCATGATGCTCATTTCCGTTCTACGTTATCGTGCGATAGTTTGTCCATTGAAACTTTCTCTCAGTCAACTGAAGATAAAATCGTTTGTGGTTTAGCGTACATCATTGGTTTGGAACGACTGTTGGAATGACAATGCGAGAGTGCATCCTCGAAGTATGGATCCTAAACGCCTTCGTTACATTTACGAATTGTCTGCGTTTTATGCCTGTTTCTACATTTTTCCAATAATATTCATGTCTGTGACTTACTCCATAATCGCTAGAACATTGAGCAAACAAAGAAAAGTACTAAGAACATTTTCGAATGCATCACAGTCTCCTAAAATCCTTCACCAGCTCAAGTCTTCGAAAGACACAATCAGGATCGTAAGACATTTTTCGTTTGCGTCTGCACGGTTCTCTGCTTTGCAGTGGGTCATATTTATTATTTGGCTGCAAACGAATTTAAAATCACAACGCTTTTCACCAAATGCCTCAACAATTTAAAAATTGCTTTTCCGTCCGTATTATTGGCTCACACTCGTTAAATCCTCTGATTTATGGATTATTGGATAGAAAAATAATGTGTATATTGGTGAGAATGCTGAACAAAAATAGGAGAAATTCAAGTGATTCGAGATACCAAAAAGTATTTGTTCAGTAGAGTATTTGATTTTGTATTCACACAGTGAAATAAGCAGAAGCAAAGACAAAACGAAAGGCAAAGAAAACATATGCATCATTAGCTAGATAAACACAAGGATATGACTTAAATAAGTTGAAAGAAGAACAAATGAAGATTGCATAGAATAATCTGACTTTTTTGTCTTCGTAACCTCAAGAACAAAAAATAAACTTTCAAGCAAGCTTGTTTACTTTTGTAAACAGGCTCTACAGAAATAATAGAATGTATTTTATCTTTGATTGTTTTAAGCATTTTTTGCTTATGGAATTCGCTAAAATATGTCAAACGCTTGACTAGGTCTTTTTAAAAGTTTTCAATTGCTAATTCAGGGTATTTAAATAATTTCGCCATTTAAATTAGACATATTCTGTGACGTTAATATGTCATATAAAACTTTATATTATACAAGAAATAAATACTAAGATGAGATAAGAAGATTGGATACGTAGTAGTGCAATAGCATTGATAATCATAATATAATCTTGTGATCTCAACATGGCGGAATCAAAACTCAAAATTGTTGGTTTCAATTTCAATCAATCAAAGGGCAATAAAAAACAATAACGTTCTCTCAACGGTTGTATTCTTTTTGTATTTCACCTCAACATGGCGGCATCGTAACTGAAGAATATATTAATGGTCGAAATTTATTGAGACTGGCGTGTAACAAATATTAATTAGAAGTTTTTCTTTCCGAATTGCAATTCAGTTTCGAGGGTCTGATTACATGAGCACGGTAGCCGGGATTCTGCGAAGCGTTAAATCATTTTGGCAAATGGAAAAGATTAAATACTTCACAACGAGAAACTTGTTTGAGGAAATTCTTTATGCTCTGAATCTGCAAATTCACAAAACCTTTAAAAAATGAAAAAATAATTTAGCCTGATTTAAAAATTACAACTAAAATGACTGACGCTTAAGAAAGGTTGTAAGTTTTGCGCTTTATTTTGCTCTTTTAATGACTTCCAAACGCCTCGCTAATCCCGATTACCGGGCTCATGTAAACAGCCCTGAGGTAATTTTATTTGTAATTAAACATGGGCTGAAGCATAACATGTTTTCTCAGCTAACCTTCATCTCAAATACAAAATACGTTTTTTATGTTATTGCTCCTTGGGGATATATTATTTCTGAATGAATTTCGGCTAATTTCGAAGATGAGCGGTTTTAGAGAGCCCGTGTAAATATTAAATCTACAACTGTAGGAAGGTGTGGTTAACTTATCATTGACTCCATTCCTGGCAGAATGGCTGCTAATCCGACACAAGATTATTGAGCCAGTTGTAGTGGAAGCTAATATACAATATGCTAAGTTTAAACAAAATCCAAGACAGTACCATCTTTAATTCATTGTATGTGAAGAGGCAATAATACAGTTTTGTATTTTGATCATATAACTAATTCATCATCATCAATTTTATCTTAAACAAAAACATGGCATAAAGAACAACTGTGGGACAAATGTTAACCTCAACAACTAAGAGTTTTCGGAGATGTGACGTTTGAAGTTGATTCTAAGGCTCAAGATGGTAAATTACGGCATATAATTACTTAATGTTTCAAAATATTGATTATTTTATATCGTGTGATTGGCGGCACAATTACAATATACAAACGTATATGGCAGAATGCAGATGTAGGTAAAAAATAAATGCAATAGGGCGAATGCAAAACATTTATCAACATTTATAAAGAAATGTTTAAGTCATTTATGGATAATGCTTGAAAAAGAAGAAAGAATGTTAAATAGAAAAATCGCTTCTTTGTCTAATAGTCTTTGTGAACCTCAAGAACAAAAAACATTCATGATTGAAGCTTGCTTAACTTTGCAAAACAGGCTCGCTAGAATATATTTTAGCTTTGAATGGTTTATATCATTTTACTCATAGATCATCACTTTCAACTGCACCAAGTAGCTAATTGCCTAAATAAAATATTTTTCAATATACAACAGCAGTTTGTAAAGCAATTGAGCTTTTTATAAACATATCATATTTGACACTGAAACAATTCCCAAAATTTGACTGGCAAACAAGTTGCTTTTCTTTTTCCAGCACACTTATTTGGAAAATTCAAAATTGATAAAGTCATGGTTTTGCAAATCTCACGCATGATCTATAGGACTAAAGAAATGCTATTGGCCAGCTCTTTTGAGAAATTTCGTATAGTTAACAACCTTTCATTAAAATGAATGAAAAATTGAAGTCGTTTCTCGAATAGAAAAACTGTATATCCTTCACTCAAAATTTTGTTTAGAATCAAAATTGATAAAGTCATGGTTTTGCAAATATCACGCGTACATAGGACTAAAGAAATGCTATTGGCTAGCTCTTGTCAAGTGCATAATGTGATTGGCTCACAGAATAAGCAAGCAATGGCTTATCAATTTTGTTAAATTTTGTTGTAGACGACAAAATATAAATCAACGTTTGCAAACCTTTTTTTTATCTTTTCTTTTTGCTAAAATACGACGACTACTTCAACTAGGTCCTTTT